GTTATCTGTTCTCTGTTATCTGACTCTGTTTATTTATGCTTGTTCATTTGTTGTGTTTTTAGATTCCACATATAAATGAAATCATACAGTATTTGTCATTCTCTATCTGACTTATTTTACTTAGCATAATACCCCCTGGGTCCATCCATGTTGTCACAAATAGCAAGATTTCATTCTTTTTTAAGGCTAATATGCCACTGGATGCATGTGTATGTGTGTGCGTATATATATATATACGCGCGCACACACACACACATACATATACATATATATATATACACACACACATATATACACACCCCTCACATCTTCTTTATCCATTCATCTATTTATGGGAGCTTAGGTTGCATCTAAATCTTGGCTATTGTAAATAATGCTGCAGTGAAAATAGGGGTGCACATATCTTTTCAAATTAATGTTTTCATTTTCTTCAGATAAATACCTAGAAGTGGAACTGCTGGTTTTTACAGTAGTTCTATTTTTAATTTTCTTGAGGAATCTTCATACTGTTTTCCATTATAGTTGCACCAACTTACATTCCCACCAACCGTACACAAGGGTTCCCTTTCTCCACACTTGTTATTTGATAATAGCCGTTCTGACAGGTGTAAGATGTCTCATTGTGGTTTTGATTTGCACTTCCCTGTGGATTAGTGATGTTGATCAAAGATGCTTACATGCCTGTTGGCCATGTGTATGCCTTCTTTGGAAAACTGTCTGTTGAAGTCCTCTGCCCGTTTTTTAATTGGGTTGTTTGTTTTTCTGATGTTGAGTTGTATAAGTTCTTTGTATATTTTGATGTGTTTTTTTTCTGTTTTTTTAAAATTCTGTGATTTTTTTTTTTTAATGGAAGTACTGGGGATTGAATCCAGGACCTCGTGCATGCAAAGCATACACTCTATCACTGAGCTATACACCCACCCCCTCTTTATATTTTGGATATTAACCTCTTGTCGGATATATCATTGGCAACTATCTTCTTCCATTCAGTAGGCAGCCTTTTCTTTTGTTAATAGTTACCTTTGCTGTGCAAAAGCTTTTTTAGTTTGATGTAGTCCCATTTGTTTTTGCTTTTGTTTCCCTTGCCTGAGAAGACATATCCAAAAAATATTGGAAAGACCAGTGTCAAAGAGCATACTGCCTAAGTTTTCATCTAGAAGTTTTATGGTTTTAAGTCTTACATATAAGTCTTTAATCCATTTTGAGTTTTTAGGGTATGAGAGAGTACTCTAGTTTGATTCTTTTGCATATAGCTGTCCAGTTTTCCCAGCACCATTTATTGAAGAGGCTGTCCTTTCCCCATTGTATATTCTTGCCTCCTTTGTCATAGATTAATTGGCCAAATAAGTGAAGGTTCATTTCTGGGCTCTCTATTCTGTTCCATTGATTGATGTCTGTTTTGGGACCAGTACCATACTGTTTTGATTACCATGGCTTTGTATTGTAGTTTGAAATTGTAAATGCTTTTTGAGCAAAGAAGGAAGGAATGAAAGACTTGTTCATGCAAAGGAATCAGCAGTTTTGGATAAACTGATAGCACTCACTACTTTTAACTTCCTCCTAGATGTGATACACTTTTTATTTTATATTTAAATAAAGATGATGCCTTATCAAGACAACTATCTTCCCAGTGGTGTTCTAGGTAGGCATCGCAGCTTTATGGAAAATGGTTAACTGCAGCCCAGGTCATATGAGGCCCCCTGTGCAGTATAGCTGGGATCCCACTGGTAGCATTTCCAGTCACTCCTACCTGACCTGTTTCCCCAGATGATGAAAGTTCTGGAAGCAAAAGGCCTAAGGTGGTGGTATCTGAAGAGGAGCTGAGGGCCCATGTCAGCAGGGGCACGCTGGGTAAGCTCACTGTGCCCACACTGAAGGAAGCCTGCAGGGTGCATGGGCTGAAGGGTGGGCTGAAGAAGCAAGAGCTGCTGGATGCGCTCACCCGGCACTTCCAGGACTGACCGGAGACCATGCAGCCAGTCACCGTTTCACATGTGAGCCAGGCTGCCTGGTTTTGTTTTTATAAAGTTAAAACACCTTTCTCCTGAGCCAAGAAGAGTCTGCCTGACAGAAGCCAAGGACCTTACGTTTATGAGACTTTCTGTTGCCATGGAGAGTGTACCCCTCCCACTTTGCCGTGCCTTACTCTACTGTCTGAATAAAGAGCCCTAACTTTGTTCTATATATTGTTCCTTAGTGTAAAGGAGAAAGATGTGTCTACCTTGCATCCAAAGATCACTTGCCACTGGCTGTTGGCTTAATTTTCTCTCCCACTGGGAAGGCACATCATCACAATGGAAACAAAATAAATATCAGTGAGGGTAGAGGAGAGTGTGACAGTTAAGGACAGGTGAACATACTTTAGGAATGATAAGCCTTAATAAGATTATATTCTCCTGATTCTCTGTCCTCCCATCTGTTTTCCTTTATATGTGTAATTTTAAGATCTAAAGATCAGATCTCAGAAATAATAACAATGCAGCATTTATAATTCTGGTACCACTTGCTTCATGAGTAAATAGCAACTCTCCTCATGCTGCATTTTCTTAATGTGACATTCAACTATATGAAGAAGATATACACATTTTCTGGTACTCTGAGAATTTGGGTTCCAGTGTAAGTGAAATGAGTTATTCCTTTTATTTTTCAGGGGAGCCGTAGGAAGTTCAAGAAGATAAAGAAGGGGAAAAGGAGGGGTCCTAGTGTCAGGAAAAGGGGAAGCGGTGGGGAGTGTCTTTCTCTCTTGTGTTCTGCCCGCCCTCCCCCCATCCCTATCCCTGCCCCTTTCCTGCTCTTTCTCTAGCAATTGCTTTTGAAGAGTTGGCCTGAGAAGGAAGGAAGGCATCTGGAACAGTTTTTAATTCTCTGAGGATGGCTTGTAGGTCCTGTGTCTTTCAGGACTAGAACGAGCATCTTATGAGGTGAGTTTAGGAGGAGATCAGATTACTCTTGTAAGAGATTTTCATTTTTGGAGTCTTTGCTCTGAGCTTTATAAGTTTTTTTTTTTTAACCTGTTTTTGCTTTTGTTTTTGTTTGGAAAAGAGATATTATATTCTTATTTGAATTTTTTTCCTTATCTGGGGGAAAGGAAAGATAATTCTCCAGTTAGAAGAAATGCCTTTGAGGATACAGCAAAATAATGCAAAACCATTTAGTATAATAAGTGTTTATTCTTGCTGATAAATTAGACCATCCCCCTTAAATAAAGCATGTTTGGGAACTTTGGTTCTAGAGGGGGTTACTAACACCACCACAAAAGTAGATTAGAATCGGGCTAGTCACCACAAGTAGCAAGGTAAGAATGGATTTCTTGGCTAGTGAGGAGGAAACCAACTGAGTCCCCAGGCTTTTCCATGCCCTCCTGTGGGACCTAACTCACGTCTAGACTCCTTCCCCTCTATTCTCCTATTTACAAAATAAAATGAAAGAGTTCAAGGGTCAAACAGAACACCTCCGGATAATGTAAATGATGTTAGAGAACAACCACCGAGGTCTGTGATAAATAGCAGTTGGGTGATCTCTGTTTCTTTGCGAGGTAATGATGCTTCTCTGCTCTTTAGCTCCCTGGGAAAGAAACATCCTGTCCAAATGTAATTTGTCTGGACTTTTATAAACTCATAGGTCAGATTTAGTAAATCTGCATCATAGCTCCATCACATACTTACAAGTGACCATAGGCAACCTACCTGGCATTTTCTAGCCTCAGTTTCGTATTTATAATAACGCAGAATAGTGAAAATGAAATGAGAAAACATGTAAATGGACACAGTGCTCAATAGGCACTAGCTCTTAATAAAACTTCTCCGCCTGCAAACATGCTCTGAGGAGGAACGGCCCGCAGACGCCCACACGCACATACACCACAGAGCCGGTGGCCTGATGCTGCGCGTCCCCATCCCAGTGGCCAGCAGCGGGGAAGGCGGTGGCGTGGTGGGGTAGCCGCTGGAGGGCACGAATAAGTTTGGCCAAAACTATACCAAGCAACTGCATGCGTATACGCCTCCAGGCTGGATGCAGAGAGAACATCTGTAATGTCTTGCTAAAAAATTAGAAGAAAAGCAAGGCAGGACCACGAAATCTGGATTAGTCATCCACTTCCTCTCCCTCCCCCTCATCCAGAAATTCTAACCTCAAATCCATATCAGAGGGAAAGCACACACCTGTTATACTTGAGTAGGAGCTACAGCTGACTATCCAGCCTTTCTCGTTTGAGCCCCAACTGTTCCTGAATGTGTAATCCTCATGTAACTGACTGCATCATGTAAAGCCTGTCCTACCTGGGGTTTATTTCTGGCCACTCTGAAGCAGCTGGAGCATCTCACCTGTGGGCCCTGCCAGCACTTCCAGTATTCTTCATCACCTAGCAGTTTTGACATGGTCATATTTACTGCTGCTATTTGACAAGACATCCTCCCATTTTCATCACCTACTTCCCAATCTTAGTTGTCTATTGCTGTGTGACAAATTACCCCCAACACTATTGGCTTGAAAACAACAATAAACACATATTACAGGGTGGGGGGGTATATAGCTCACTGGTGGAGTGCATACCTAACACAAGGTCCTGGGTTCAACCCCCAGTACCACCATTAAAAATAAGTAAAAATCTTTAGAACATAGTTATAATTTCCCTCATAGTCAGTGATCCAAAGACATGAAGGCAGAAGCTGCAGTGTCTTCCCGAATAGTCCTGCAGACCAGCTCTGAGTTGGTGTGGGCTGGTCTCAGGGCACTCATACACAACAGCATGAATTGCATGGAGGTGGGGACCACTGGGGGCCATTTTGGAGGCTGGCTGCCATAGGGTATCATGATTGACTTGCTACTTAAAATTTTTTCCCTTCCTTCAAAAAATAAACAACTATACACTCCCCACCCCCACCTTAAGCAGATTTGCCTGCTGGAGCCAGAGGCACGTTCTTTTTTCAAAACATAACTTAGGTACATTGTAATAATGCTTCATCCAAGTATTAGCTGGACACCTACCAAGAATCACACTCTTTAAATTGGAATATATGTATTTCTTTATTAGGATGCTCACAAGAACGACACATTAGCACTATCCTTCTGACGTAATAGAGAATACTTACATCTGACCCACATCATGGCAGGAAACAGGGGTAAGGGCTCTCAAAGCTGATACCAAGTGTCCACTAAAGACATTTCCATTCACCAAAGTAAGCCTGGATTCCATCATTTCTGCTGTACCTTCCTGTTCTCCATGACTGGCCCAGAATCCTTCATTCCAGAACCTCTTGCCACTCCTTTAAGACCTGGGTCACCTGTTCCATGTCTCACTCACCCAGGCCACCTCTGGAATTCTGCAGCACATTTCTTTGGTATGCTGTTGCCCTGCCACCCTCAGGGCCATGGGTGGGAGTTGGGGGGAAACATAACATCATATTACAAAGGCAAACAGCAGAGGAACATTAGCAAATGACACTTGGGACACACACCCAACAACCTCACAGAATACATGCTTCCTCCCCAAATGATACATAATGCTCTAAAGAGCGAAGGAAACCCCTCCATCATTCAAACACGTATGCAATGATTCTGTGTGCCAGGTACAAGGGATACAAAGTGAATATACTGTTTACTTCCCTCATTCCCTGTTTACAGTAGGAAGTTGAAAGCCTGAAAGCTGGAACCAGATCTCTTATCTTGGCTCTTTCCTGCCTTTGAATGGTGTTCACCTTAATTCCACCTATTCTGGGCATAACTCATTTTTCAAAAGGGAGGATAAGATGGCACAGAGAGTGGAAGGGGAGATTAGGGGTGGGGAGGGGATGACAACCTATAAAACAAGACAAAACAATACAAAAATACAAAAACCAGATTTAGCACTACAATACTTTATAACAATAGAAGGTAGCTGGAAATACTACATGCTAACAGACAATATGATACATAACCTCTGGGGGAGGAGTCAGCAGGGAGTGTGGCAGAGGCCACCTGTTTAGACTAAGAGCCTTTCAATGGACTGCTGGATGGACTGGATCTGCTGCTTCAGTTGTGAGCCTTCTTTGATGGTGACAGAACAGGCGATGACAGGCCTGGAGACCCCACAGGCCCGCCCCAGGGCCTGCTTGGAGCGCACAAACACATAGGGCACATTCTTGTCCTCACACAGCAGTGGGAGGTGCAGGATGATCTCCAGGGGCTCGGCGTCTGCAGCCATCACAATGAACTCAGAGATACCTCTGTTGAGAGTTTTGGTGGCTGTGGAGAGAAGGACATGAGGCTGATAGGTGATGTGAGGTTGGGGCAGGGAAGCCACAACAAAGCGATTTCCAAAGAAAAGAAACACAGGTGCAAGAAAACTGGGCAAAACTTCCAGGACTAAACAATTCTGTGTCCCATAGTGGCCTTGGGAAGTGAGGGGGATTCAAGCACCAGTTAGTCATCCCGAATGCCTTCCTCAGACCCTGTATCAAATCCATCAATTCTGTCAAAACAGATCCTGAATCAGACCCCTTACCTTCTTCCTGTCCTCTGCTACCACACTTGCCCAGGTCACCACATCTCTTGCCTGGCTGACTGGAACAGCTTTCAGCCAAGTTCCACCAGCACGAAGCAGTGTCATGCAGCACTTCTCAAACTCTGATCAAGGATCAGGGTTTTACCATCCCAGTCTGCCATGATCAATACTTCTGGAAAGCTCACACCACATGCAACTCACCAAGCAAGTTCAACACCTACAGCATTGTTCAAATGCTTATTCCTGATTGCTTATCTCTGTGACCCAGTGGTAGCCCATGCACCACACTCTGCTGCTCTTAAGTCCTTGCATTGGTCCTAATCAAGAGCATCCAGCCCTCTTCCCATACTGGAAATCTAGTCCAGAGACCCCAGATATGAACAGTGCCTTTAACACTCTTCCTGAAACATTCTCTGGTTGGCTTACCTTCATTGGCTCCTTTTCGAAGCTGCTTGTAGTTACATGACTGCTGAACAAGGTCCAATAGTTTCTTGGTGAGGTGGGCATCTGCAAGAGGGTAGGCCTTCGGATTTACATCAGCTTCAGTCTATAGGGGGACATCAAAGCATGAGTCAAACTGAACCAGAAGTTGTTCCAGACAAGTCATAAAATACTTTAATCAACAACTGAGAGAGGCTTTCCTGCTCCCCCACCTCCAAACACACACCTTTAGTAATTGACACTGGCCTGCCCACTCTTTTGGAAAAAATGAAATATTAGGCTCAAAAAAAATTTAGCAACTACACAGTCCAATAATATACCAAAGCCTATGTACTTTTGCCTGTTTTTTTGGGGGCGGCAGCTAATGTTTGGTAATATTATAGCAAATGGATTATAACAGACTTCCATGGCTCAGTATCCATTTTAGTCACATGGGAGTAATCTCTAAATTTCGGTTTCCATATTCCACCCCAAACTTACTAAATCTAAATTAAGGTATAATTTATAGAAACCTAGCACAAAGTTCTGTCTATTCCCTTCAATATTGTATCTTCTGTTTCCAGCAAGAATCCTGGTTTCCAAAACATCTAAATATTTCCTCAATTATTCCACCCTACAATACATATAAAATGATTTCAGAATTGCTATACCAATACTGCCTCTACAACCACAAACCCATCAAGGTCAAAATTTCTTTTTATTCTTAGAATATATCTGACTAAAGACATCCAGTCAGAGTATGCTGTGTTTGGAGGCTGGACCACGGTGGTGCAGAATTCGGTGAGGGCTGGAGGAGTTTCATGAAGCAGTGGAGAAAGACCTTATTACTCGCTCTTCTGCATACATTCCAGAATCAGTTTTTCAATGTCCACAAAAAACCCCTGCTAGGACAGTCTGATTTGCAGGTTTGAAGTAATCCTAATTAGGGTAAAACACCTTTATGATACAGAATCTGTCAATCCATTTAAACATATATACTTAACTCTTCAGTGCTTTTAAATAAAGCTTTATAATGTCTCCCAAAGTTTTAATATCTTTTTTTCTAGTGTTAAACCACTTTTGCACTCCTAAGGTAAAACCAACTTTAAGATTTTCTTATTTTATTCTACATCCATTAGCTAATGGACATATGGTTTCTTTTTAAGATTTGCACAAGTCTGTAAATATACAAAACCCCAGAATTATAAATTCTACCTTGTTTTTTAAAAATTGACATATAATTGACTTACAGTACTATGTTACTTCCAGGTACACAGCACTGATATTTGATATTTCTACACAATACAAAATGATTACCACTGAATTACACATTTTATTTGTAGATTATGTCTCTTTCATGTTTGTTACCCCTTATTTATAATTTTTTGCTTATTTTCTTGATTAAACTCACTGGAGGGGGCTTTTCAAAGACTCTTCTGATTTTGTCCACCCTATAACAGGATCTATTTTCTATTCCAGTAATTTCTGCTTTTGTTTGTTTTTCTTTCCTCTCCTTTCTTTCATGTTATTTTGTCTTTTTGTTCTCTCCCTAGCTTTTTAGTGCCACCTGCCCCCACTATAAGCATTTCAGGTTTAATACTTCAGTTGTACCCTATGTGCTCTGGTATTTGGCATTTTCATTATTATTCAGTCCTGTTTTCAAATATCCCTTACATATTTTCAATTTGGGTGCAGAATTTACTGGTTTCACTACCATCACTAGATCAAGTTTATTCCTAGTGTTCTTCAAATTTTCTCTTTCCCTACTGATGTCTTGGCTTCATGATCTATCAATTAAACGCTATATAACTGCATATTTGTCTACTTTTTCTTGTAATGATGTCATTTTCATTTTACTTGTACTTTATTTTTAGCCATCATTACTGATGCCTTTTTTCCTTTTCCTTTTTTTTTTTTTTTTAGAAACTTCAACCTGTCTTTTTAACTGGAGCATTTAGTCCCTTCCTATATTTATTTAAATACTGATATATTGGGTCCAAATCTCCCTTCTTTTGTGCCTTCTATTTGTCCTACCTGTTCTGTTTCCTTTTCTTTCTCCTCCCTTTCAGTTTTTTTCCCCCTACTATCTTCCCGTTTAGTGGTTTGGAGTTATATATCTTTATTCTTTTGGTAGCTACCTGAGAAATCACAAGTTATGTCCTTATCAAAATCTAATGTTCCTCAATACTATCATCTTCCTCTTAAACAATAAAGGACCCAGTAACACTTTAATTCCAAGCACTTCTCATAAATATGTATTTTTAAATGCCAGATATCTTTGTTGCAGTTTCCAATAGCCCATATCTGGAAATTAGGATTCTCAACTCAATAAACATCAAATGAATAAAAGGGGGAGACCTCAGGAGCCCCAACAACAGAGTTACCTTATTGTTTTAATGTCAGTCAACAACAACAAAACGTCTGCTCAACTTTAAAACCAAACTACCTAGCTTATAAATAGCAACTGAAATTTGTTTAGTGTATATTTATTCACCTTTTAACTTTTTCAAGGGTTAATTAAATGAGTGAATGAACAAAATCTTACTGCTAAGCAACTTTAATCCCTAGCTTGATGCTTTTGGTTTCTCTACACCAGACAGCCAAAACCTGCAAGGTTTTGATTTACCAGCAAATAGTGCGTGCTCACACTTTCCGTATCAAGAATTAGGACTAGGTGTTTAACATGCATTATCTTGTTTAATTTAATCCTCTTGCATTGTTATCCTCATTTTACAGTTGAGGGAAATTACTCTTAAGTTCAACCCGAGACCATCCGATTCCAAAACTTTTCAAGGAACTGCGGAGAATGAACACTGATTTAGAAGCTTCAAATTCTAGGTTTAGTCATCTACTAGCTTCAAAACGGGGTTAGCAAGGTTGGGAAGATAGCAGCCAGGATCCAAGATCCGTTGAAGGGAATAAACCTGACTGGAGTTACAGTGCTTTGCAAACTCTTCCCTCCTTACTAAGTGCCAAATGACTACCAGGCCACACGATTTGATTCAAAAGCTGAAGACCACCAAGTTTTAGAGGAGCCGCACAATGTGCCAAAAGGACTTTTAATTTCTGAGACTACCGCCTCGCAGGAGTTTTTCCAGTACCCCAAGCCGGGGTTCAGGGTCACTTCACATTCCCCACAGCCCCCAAACGTCAAAGGCTCCTTTAATCCTTGACACATGTAACTCGCGGCGGGCACTAGGCGCAGACCCACGGAGCTCTCCCTCTCGTGAACATCAACAATGGGGAAGTGGGGTAGGGGAGGCTGATCCAAATCCAGGGTTCCACACCATCCTCTAGCGATCTCCCCCCAACAAAGAAAAATAAAACAGATGGAGCCAAGTTTTCTCATCCAACTTTCTACTGTCTCCCACGTGGGTTGGTCTTTCTCCCAGGCCGGGCCATGCCCCCTCCACTCACCGGAGGACTTCGGCCACGAGCACAGACTGATGCAAAGCATCTCCATCACTGCAGTTGGACCCTGAGGTTTCCAGAGTTCTAACCTCGGGCCAGGAGAGAAGGCAGTGCGGGAGCTCTAACCCCGGGCTGGGCGAGCGAGACGGCGCACGTTCTAAGGCCCCATCAAGCTAGTGAGAGACTCGAATCCCGAGTCTCCCGCTTCCCGGTCCTTCGGGCAGGAGCACGCACTCACCATGGTTGCGGTTATGTGGTCTCGTCACGCCTCAAGGAGCACAGCGATGTCAGAGATGGAGCGATCACCTCTGCGGGAAAGCAGCGGAAGGAATGGAAATGGCCGCGCGCGACAGGAAGCGGAAGTGACGTTACCAAAAGGACGTGGCCACGCCCCCTAAGGGGCGCCGGCCCGGAATGGCTTCAGTTCCGGGGTAGGGGCCACATTTTGCTGTTTTTATTGTCATTCTACTATAAGTTATTTGCAGCAGCAATGAGTTAAACAGTTAAAAAAAAAAACCCACACCAAAATAGAGTTTAAATGATGTCGTCATTCCATTGCTAGTTTATTTTTTTAGCACATTCTTGTGCTTTTAAAATCATCTTTTTGACCCTACAGTGGTAAAGGAAAGATATGGAGACAATAATAGGTAATCCTAAATGTTTTTCTTTGTATTCAGTAGGAAGGAGGAAGAAGAGCAGGTTTGGGGCTGGGGGTTGAGTTTCTGTCCTACTGAGTTTGGAGATGACCTAGGACATCCATTTTCCTCTGACCCAGCATGCTGCTCTTTTCTCTGTGCTGCTCCAAATCTCCACTACTGAAGGCTACTCTCACGCCTCACCACCTCCAAGAAGTCCTCCCTGATCCTTATGGCCCTTACTCATCTCTCTTCACATGATGCCAGGCATACCTTGGGACCATTTGGACCTAGCCAAAACTAGACCATAATGAGCCAGTTCCAGTTAATTCCTTTGGAAACCTAGAAGTAGAGACCTGGCAGGATCCTTAGGAATCATGCAGTGATTTTCACAGATACTGAGGCCCAGAGAGGGGAAGCTGCTTGTCCACAGTCACAGAATGAGGCAGTGGCCAAGCCAGAACTGGACCCTGGGAGTTTTGGCTATTAGCTTGGGTTACTTCCACCACATCTAGTTACTGTGCTTGAAAACTCAGCAGGATGGGTTTGAACTGGCTCCAGGACTGAACGTTTATTGCATGAAAATCCCCCTATCAGACTTTATCCATGCAAATGTATGACTTGTCAAAGAATAAAATTTGTCTCCAAATTATGAAATTCCCACTGATGTCCTTTATAACAATCTCTGATTGTTATTTGGCCTACTTGGCATCTTGGACCATCATATCCCAGATCTCCTCAGTAATGACTGACAGGGTCTTGATATTTTTATGACCATGAGTAATGAGCCTTATTAATTTTGTTTCCCTAACTGTTTCTCAACTATATAATAACTCAAGTTCCACATTCTCTCATAACTAGCCCACCTTTTTGTATCTTGCTATTTCCCTTGCTAATAAGATAATAAGTGTTGATATATGCTCAGAATTGATTTGTCTTTTACCATGACTCTGTGATTAAAACCCTAAATGCTTGCCATGGCTTCCTAGGCCTCTTTCCACCAGTACTCCCCTTCTCATCCCCATGTTACAGCCCCCCCCTTTTTTTCTACCTTGAGCACACCCCAATCTCCCCAACCCATCCATCACCCTCTGCTGGGAGTGGTGTGCTTCACTGTTCTGCTTAGCTGACTCCTGTTCATCACTTCTTAGGTGAAGCCTCCTTGATCACCCAGACTAGGTAATTGCCCCTGCTGGATAGACCCATAAGCCCCCTGTACTTGCCCTTTATAGCACACATTGGCCTTGTTTTGCTCAGTGTTTGCCTTTCTAACTACCCTGAGAGCTCTTTGAGAGCAGGGCTTGTAGCTACCTTGGAAACTTTTGATATCTATCTGTTGGCATTGTGCCTGATCCAAAGGAAGTTTTTTTTTCACTTAGGGATCTTTGGTGTCAAGCAAGCAAAAAGGAATTTGAGAAAAGAATCTGTAGTGGAGCCCAGAGGTTCAAGAGGAGATGATTGTGGGGTCAGGGCCAGTCATAAAATCCTATTCCACTGTCCTTTAGCCAAAGACCACCAGGAACACACCTGTAGTGTTATTATTCATTGCAACAAGGGAGAACACACACCATGGGGAACTATGGGACTTCTCAATAAGAGGATGTTTGGATTTACTGTAGGATTTGGGCTGTGTTAAGTGATTTTGGGAAGGGTTCAAGGAAATGGGTTTGTTCTGGATTAGATGCTATCAGAAAGTATAAGTAATTCTGACTGGGTATCTTAATAAACTTATCTACAAGGTGGAAGGAATAAAGTGAAGCTAAAGCTATAATTAGTAACAAAATAGCCATCACTCATGTTAGCCAGGATAAGGAGACATTTGTTTATTTTTGTGATTTCAACAATGTTCATTTTTTTTGTCTGTGTTCAGACATGATTAAACAGTAGTCTTGTTTTTGTCTTGACAATTAGAGTGGCTTTGTCTGATGTTGACAGTCTAGGAAGTATTTCATGTTCAACAGGAGAACATCAAGCCTCAGCTATGAGTGTCAGGCCAGCTTCCAGTAACATCAAGTCCTGACTGATAGAGCTGCACCAGTTTTTAGTTGCCATGGGCTGCTTTTTGTTTTCATTTTTCTTTTTTAACCAGCTTCCTATTCCTACCTAGAATCTCTATTCTTGATAACTAGAGCCCTGGAAGAGACAGCCCAGGTGGCCAAACTGAGGTCACACCTCCACTCCTTAATTGTCCTGGGTCTGTGAAAAAGTAGCAGGTCTAAACTAGGGTAACATTTAGCCAAGATACATTGTGTGGCACATTGGGTTCATAGAGAAATGCTTTCCAACTAGTTGATAAATAGGTGGTGCCCTTCTACTGGAACCCCAGGGACCACTTACAACCCAGCTATTAAAGGGTTGAGGCTTGGCCCATTCTGATTGGCTGGTGACCTTGCCTGCTCTGTTATTCAATATTTTGAATATAATCTTCGGGTGAAAATCGTCAGGGTAGCATTTATACTCCTCTCAACACTGATCCTGAGATGGGAAAATAATCCCCCAACAAAAAATCAGGATACGATGTGTGAAGAGGAAGGGATGCCGGGTGATTAAACAAGAACACACATATTCAACACAGTGTTCACTAAATCTTTAATATTGTATAGCCCAGTGGACAAATGGATGAAAGTATCTAACAAGAAAAAAGAAATCAAGTGGACTACAGGTTACATCATACATGGGGTGAACTTAATCTCTTCACTTCAGAGGACAGGACGCTTAGAACAAGTTCTTCTGTTTAATTCCTTTTGGGCAGTTCTGCAGTGTGGCCCTTACCTGTACTGAGGGCATGTTAGCCAGCTCTGATGCCAGGTTCAGCAGCTGGAGCTGAGGCTACAACATTAGGCTCCTTTGTGAGGTGGCCTTAGTGACAAGGGGTGCTATAAGGGAGGGGCTACCCCGCCCCAAACTAGCTGGGTCAGCCATACCAGTCCTGCCCTCAAACTCCCTAACACCACCTGCCTGACCTAAGCTGTGTCATGTTGCTGCCCGTCCTGGGCACCTGTGCTGTGGTGTGGCCATTCCAGGGCCCTGAGTGGGAGCCAGTGAGGGGCCTGCTGTCTGAGGATCGCAGCTGCAGGGACCCTCGGTGCTGCAGCAATCTGCTCGTCCTCTGCCTTTTTCTGATCTGGCAGATTCGGCACTATTGGCATCAGGTCACCAGGACCCAACTCAGCATGAGGAAGTTTATCAAGGTGAGGGGGTCCCACACACCTCCTTCCTTTAATACCACAGCTGTCTCAGTCTTTTGTTACTAGGACCGTGTTCTATGATCTCAGACTGGTCAGGGAGAGCATTATTTTGCCCCACACCCAGCAGTCACCCTGACTTCTCTCCCTCACCCTTCACAATCAATCCACCTGCAAGTCCTATGAGCTCTACTTGCAAACCATATCTCAAATATCTCACCACACCCTCCTGGGCAAAGCCATCCTCAGGTCTCACCTGGACTGTGGGTACCACCTTCTACCTGATTCCTGCCACCTCTCTCTCCCAACCATAGTCAGTGCTCCACGCAGCCAACAGAATGAACTTCTTTCTCTCTCTCTTTAAAAATTTTAATCCAAGGATAATATACACATTACAAGTGTGTAAATCAGTGATTTTTTTGCAAACTGAACAAATACATGTGCAGCACTAGATTAAGAAACAGACCAGCAGCCAAGAAAGTTGCAGACATAACCATGCTAGTTTCTAATAGTACAGACTAGCTCTGCTCTGCAGCAGACTAGCTCTGCTCTAGTACAGACTAGTCTTCTGCACTCAGCTTGAGCCTAACATTATGCTCATGAGCAAGAACAAACTTCTTTTATTGGTAGTCCTCCCAATTTTTTTTTATTGAAGTATAGTCAGTTTACAACGTTGTGTCAATTTCTGGTGTACAGCAAATGTTTCAGTCATACGTACACATACATATATTTCTTTTCATATTCTTTCTCATTATAGGTTACTACAAGATACTGAATACAGTTCCCTGTGCTCTACAGTCTAAACTTTGTTTATCAGTTTTATATATAGTAGTTAGTATCTGGAAATCTCAGACTCCCAGTTTATCCCTTCTCACTCTATTTACCCCTGGTAACCATAAGTTTGCTCTCTATTTCTGTGAATCTCTTTCTGTTTTGTATATAAGTTCATTTGTGCTTTTTATTTTTAGATTCCACATATAAGTGATATAATATAGTATTTTTGTGTGTGCGGTTTTTTTTCTTTGGGGGGCGGTAATTAGATTATTTATTTCTTAATTGAGGTACTGGGGATTGAACCCAGGACCCCCTGCATGCCAGGCATGTGCTCTACCACTGAGACCCCCTCACATAGTATTTTTCTTTCTCTTTCTGGCTTACTTCACTTAGAATGACAATAAGAACAAACTTAAAAACAGATCATAGCACTTTGCCACTCAAAACCCTACAATGGCTCTCATGAATATACTTCCAGTCAAACTCAGAATAAAATCCAACTCCTGACCACAACTCTAAGGCTCGGTATAATCTGTCTTGCATTTCTCACGCTCTCTTTGGCACTCATTCCATTCCGGCCACAGGGGCTTCCTTGCTGTTCTTGTACAACTGAGCCTGTTGCATCCTCAGGGCTTTTGCACTAATGTCTCCTCTGCCTACAACGCTCTTTCTTTAGATGTCACTTGGTTTGTCCCTTGCTTCATTCAGGTCTCCAGTCAAATGTCATCTCCTCCAGGAGGCCTTCTCTGACCAATGTGTCTAAAGGAGATAATCCTACCCCCACTCTGCTTTCATTTCCATCAAAACACTTTTCGATACTAATGTTATGTTGTATACTTGGTTA